CGACAATGGGCTATTCATAAGCAAAATAACATTGCTTAAGGCCGTTGGCACCTACATTTTACAAAACATTAATTATAAAACAGAATAAAAATGAGATACCATGTCATCCATTTCTTCATCTTTGCTGTAACGAGCATAGTCTTTGCGCAAAGTTCTCATGAGGATCATGCTCACAAGGCCGACCAGGAAAATAACCATCATGAAAGAGTTGAAAATTGAGAACCAGTGGATCTGAAGGAAATATCAATATTTAACATGAAATATCACATCAAAAAATGAAAGAAAAATAATCATAGTTTATGTAGCACAAAAATATATCCTCCTTACTCTGTGTTGGAAGAAACTGGGATCTAAGTACTTGTCAAATCTATCATCATATTTTACACTTGATGACTTCCAATTTACCTAAAAAAATTAAGAGATAAGATTCTATTAAAACAAAAGCTTTAATAAAATGAAGTAAATATTTAATTTTCAATAAATTATTCAGCTTGATTTTAAATAGAATTAAAATGATATGGTGGATAAGAGATATTGCGAAGTAACATAATATTTCAATAACCCATAATGTAAGGAGAATATTTTGATCCATAATTAAAACATAATAAATTTTATGAAAATCGAATATTTATTATTATTTTTAATCAGTTATGATGTTTTTAAGTGTGCAATTGTTTCCAGGAGTTAGGACTAAGTTTATTTGTGTTTAAAATAATATTTAAACACATGTTCACCATATGTGAATGATCAATAAAATCAGTCAATTTTCCTATTGCAGCAAATGTGTTTTTACATTTATATAAGAAATTACGCACATTCATAAAAATGCATAAAAGACATTAATTTATCAATCCATTAATTTTCCTCTAGCAAAACAAAATGCTTAAAGCTCACTGTAACATAGGCATTTCAAAGATGTACTTGGCATAAATAGACCTACATCTAACGTAAAACTAGCCATTATGTACATGTGTTCCATTATATTGTTTTCTGCTTTTTTACCCTTCATTGAACTAAATTCTTTTTGTATATTTTTCAACCATCCTTCTTTTAATACTCATTGATTTGCTGCGTATTAAAAAACAAGACCAAATGTAAATAATAAAATCAATTTATTATGTTTCTTAATAAGTAAATTATACTATATTTTCAAGTAATAGAATATAAGAAATAGAGCTCAAAATTCACAATGGTTCTTTGGATCTAGACCAGGGACTTGGACCACCAAAAATAATTATCGACATTCTCCGATCAGCAATCGATGTTAAGGTATGGAATGCTGTTTTGATTTCCAGTTTCCTGTTTTATTTCACAAAAAAGCAAATTTTCTCATAATTGCGAATATTACACATTTTTTATATAGTAATTTTTAATTTAAATTCCACTACGCACAGTAGGAAAAATAAGAATTTTTTATATACTATGCCTATAGTACAAAATGCCTGGAGATTTTTTATTAGTCATTTTACCGAATGCCTAAACAATGATAGAAATATTCACTCATTTTATAAGTTGCCAATTGATTTTTGGTATTCTATACAATGACTAGACAGACATCTAATAGAATACAAGATTTCACATATTGGTATTTAATATATAAGTCAGTTTTCAAAAACTGTTAATAACAAAGTAAAGTATCTTCCAAAGATTTCAGTAAATAATTAATAAAATTGGGACTTAACAATATTGTAGATATATGCACATTTTCTTAAAGTACTCACAATTTAAAATAGAGGATACCCTTTGATAAAACCTATCTCATTTATATAGAAATCATCAAAATTATTGTTCCCCAAACTAAAACATTGTGGCCAGTAAATTAAAAAAAACCACTTGCTTTAAATTTATGCTCAACACACTTGAAATACATAACATTAAATAAGTCATTGTGCTTTCATTTTAAGTATCTAAAGAATTTTAAACAATTCTCGTTTTGTAATCATGAATTTCAATAGGAAATTAAAAGATAACAAAGCCTCTAATAAATTCATATTCATGAGCAGATAAATTCTAGACAAATGTCACTGATATAAAGAATACTGTCATACCTCATATGTAAAGGTTATTTTCTTTCCTTTCTCTAGTTTAACTTTAGCTTCACTAGTTAAATTCACATCAACAATCTGATCACCATTATAACCAATGTCAAACTTCTTATGAGTCCACAAATAATAACTGTTATCAGATTCCTCATATTCTCCAACAATACCTGTGCAAGAAGATAATAACTTAAATTAAACTTAGGTGCATATCATTAATTAAACATGTAGAATAATTGTTAATAATAACATCGAGTTATTTTATCAAAGACATTATGGAGTTTAGAATTATAATTCAAAAACTAAGAAAGAACGTGGAACTAGAAAACTTACCACAAAAGAACAAGGAAAACTTTAAATATACATTAATCACTCAATGACTGATTTAATACAAGAAAACAATATTAAAAATATTAAAATTTAGGAAAAAAAAATACAATACGAACTCTTTAGTACAGTACGAACAAGAGTATATCAAAATTAACTATGATTGAATGAATTGTGAAAAAGTTAAATGGAACGTTCTGAAAACGGTGCTTTTTGAATTATTCATGATAACAATCCACATGGCAAAAAAAAAAAAAAACTCATTTTGGAAAAGAGAAAATTAAGCACTTTTTATAAACACCCAATGAAAAAAAGTATTTTTATAGGCTTTTAAAAAATGAAAATCAAAAATATGCACTTTAAAGCAAAATGCGACACCTTGTTTAATTTTTTTTTTCTAAGAATATGCTTCGTTAAGACATAGGATCAATTATCATGATTTCATCACATTAATATTTAAAAATTAGCATTTCTGAAATTATTTAATAATAATAAATCCAGACCTAAAATATAATATTATTATCTCGTCAAATCAATTTCAGCTATCTTAACTTTTAAAAATTTTCCGACATTACCTTTTAAAAAAATAGTAATTCATACAGTACTAAATGTGATATTAAACAAACAAAGCTACACAAAAAAAATATCATAGCCTTTACATACAAGACAGAAGTTTTATAAACACAGGTAGATTGTCTTGAACAGTGGGGTGGGGGAATTGATTTTAAGTTTTACCTACCCCAAACTGGTAAATCATCTAGATACATTTGATACCAATAATGATTTTTCACTGCATACACAAAGGCTTGCAATTTCTCTTCATTTAGATCAACATCACAGTAGGGATTTTTCGGTGCATTTGCTACAAGAAACAAAAACAGATTTGGTACTTGTTCAATGAAAATTAAGAAAGACCATAATATTAAAAAGAACAGCAACTACAAATATTTCATAAGCAAAATAACATTGCTTAAAAACTAACATCCGCTTTACTTACTAATTGCTAAAAGTTAAAGGATTTTAAAAAAAAGTTACAAATATCTACACAGTTCGAGAAGTATTATTACCTTTAAAATGAATTTCAAAACCACTTATTTCTAATTCAACTCCCAATAATGCTTCGCCAAGAGTTTCATGATAATGGTCTATGCTCCTTTTAGGGCCAGCACAGAATGGCAAAGAAAAGTAAGCATAAGTTTCTTGACGATTGTGATAAGGCCCCACTGTGTTCATCCACAGTACTACTTCTTCATTATCCTCATACTGAAAATAAACATTTTTAAAAACATTAAAATATGACACAATGACAAAAATGAACCAATAACATTGAAAAAAATATTAAATATAACTCATTAATGACCAAAACAAAAAAGTTATTCTTCGACAACTATTCCAAAGTAAGACGTCTCAAATTGTAAAGCACTGAAAACTTAACAATTAGTTAGAATTTTTCTATTAACCTTAATAACCATGAAATTAATAGTGTGAATATTCAGCTGTTTAAATATAACCAAGTGAGGCCTGGTGGCTGAGTTTTATCCCTTTGAGCTCACATACAAAAAAGTCTGGGGTTCAATCCTTGGAACGGGCAAAGTTGACTCAGCCTTCCAGTGGGTCATTAAAATGAGTATTAAGCATATGTGTGGGCTTAACACTGGGGGTTCCACATTCAGCTGACCATGAAGCGGATCATTTGCTCTCTTGGGGATACTTTGGCCCTCCATGGGCGTAGCACCACAAAGTTTAGTTTTTTTTTTTTTAAATATAACTAAGTAATTTTTATTTAGTTATATGAAAAACATTAAATGTACAGTACAAGCTGGTAAATGCTTATTTTCAAATTTTTAAGCAATGAAAATTTAGCAATCTTTTACTTAGGAATTGTCTATTACCTTTAATGATCCTTAAATTAATAACATAAATATTCAACCACATAAATGTAACCAAGTGACTCCTCAGTCGAATAAAAAATTTTATAATTGTAAACTGTGAAAAACAATACAATCATATCACCCACAAACAGGAAAATATGATATAAATATTGATCAGAGACACAAAAGTTTAAGCCATCTTAATGTTAAGTATATTTTTTGTATATTTTGCCATGTTCATCAAACAATTTATGCAAACAAAAGTATTTTTCACACTATTTTAAAATGTGTTTATTTGAAAATAATTCCTAATAGAAAAATAATTTTAATAATGATTAAATTTTCTAAAAAAAACTTTAAAAAAGTTTGTTTTTCTTACCTTTACTTAAATTGTAAAGAATACAAATTGTTAATACCCCCTTAAATATTATTATTTTTTAAAAGAAGATATCAAGAAACATGATCAAATTGTTGCTGAACAATAAAATTTTAGAAAAATAAAAGGTATATTTATATTCTTTTATATCAGACATTCATAATTTTTTTTGGGGAAAAAAAGTAAAATTTTGCATTTAAAAAAAATATCTTTAAGCTTGTACATTTAAAAAACTATTGAATTTTCGTTACACTAAACCTTCAAGTTAAGAATGTTGAACTTTTGATTATTTAAAATATTTTCAACACAGATTATAAACAAAATTGGAGGATCAAATAAGAAGAGATTAACAAAATACCCCCAAAAAAGATTTTTTTTAAAAAGGTGATAGACAATTTCTGTTTAGTTATTAATTCAATTATATAATTATAACAAAGTATGTTCTGTATGATTCTGTTTAGTTATTAAATTAATTATATATAAGTATTTTTTGTTAAAATATTAATAAACTGCACAAAATACTTGAAAGTTTTAATTTTTTTAACAGAAATACTTTACATGCCTTTAATTTTAAATTTAACCTTTCATTTTAGGCAAATTAATTTAATTACTCTTAATTTTATGGAAAAAAACAACTCTAAAAATTCTGTAGTCACCTTTTGATGTATCTTTAAAATATATTAGAAAAATTAACATACAAATCAGAATGAAATAAATTTATAACTAGATATGGATAATATACATGAACGTGCAAACTTCGTTCTCAGAAAATATTTTAACATGCTCGTGAAAAAAAAAAAAACATTTATATATTTTTATACAACAACATATTGATAAATTAATAATGCAAGAAATTTAAGGGAATAAATGTTGATGTATATAATTATCATAAAGAGCTTTAAAATGCTTTTTAAAAAATCATTGATTTCCAAATGAGTTTTGGTAAAATTAGGTGGCTATGAAAGGGTAAAACTAGTTATAAGAGTGAATAAATTACGTGGAGAAAATTCTTTAATTGAGATCCTGTTTGCAGAAAGCTTTTTATTTTATAAGTCTGTATATAACTTGATCTACATAGCTAAATTTAATCCAGTTTAATATAATTTTTGAAAATACTTAAAATAGAATAGATTTTCTATAAAAGATTATTAATAATTTTTGAATATGAAAGATAATATGCAGAAAATATTTTAACATGCTCAGGGAAAAAAAAGTTTATATATTTTTATACAATATATTGAAAAATTAATAATGCAAAAAAGCAAGATTACTTTATAGAAAAATATTAATATTAAGGATAGGTTTAAGATATAAAACATTAATACCCTTTTTCTACAAAATGATTAAGAAATTCAATAAAATAAATTCAAATTTTTGTTGCTTATAAGAGCTGTTAATCTACTACTAAATTACAACAGAACACAAAGCTTTTACGTAGCTGCTATTAAAAATTTATTATGTTCAGAATTTTAAATATTAAAGATTTCTATTTTTTTAAATTTAAAATGTTTTTAATTAACTGTAAATAAATGCAAAGCAAAAGGGTAAGACACACCCACACTATATTATTTTTTATTCTCATATAAATTAAACCTGAAATACAGAATTTATGTGAAAGTAATTTCTTAAAAAATACTTAACACTGAATAATGATTTTAAACAGCATCAGATAAAAATATATACAATTAAATACAGTAGATAAATACTTTTATAAATATCACACTTCTTAAATTTGCTATTAGAGATAAATAAAAAAATGTTTGAAGTTACGCGGAATTCATGAACAAAATATTTCGTGAAATAGTTATTTTCTAAGTAATTAAAGAACTGATTTTATATTAATATGTGAAATATCATTACATTGACAGCATTTATAATAAAAATCGAATGAAGGACACTGAGAAAACGAGCAAAATCAATAAAAAATTAATTATTAATGAATGCAAACATAATTTAGTAAAACCATAATGCGAAAGAATCGAAAACTAAATAAAATTCGATAATTATTAGAAATTATAGTACATATTTTGACATTTGAGCAAACAAACTTACTTTGTGAGTGTGTTCATCACTTGCTGTTAAAGCGAAACAAAGTATAAAAATCAAAACTCTGTGATATATTGCTGTCATAGTAGTGTGCGATCAAAACATATATGGTATGTAGCTTTAAAAGTATGAGTTGTTATTAATTATGCCGGTATAATGAGCAGCCTTTCTCACGTATTCATTGCAAATTTCAGCGTTACGTTTCATACGAAAAAGAGAAAACAATTCACAGCATACAAATTTCGATTACGATGAAAACAAATACGCCCTGCAGCCACGTCAAGCTCAAATATGAAGATTTCACTAGAGAGTTAGGTTCAAGCCAATTCATGTCTTTTAAGTACAACGTGAAAAGCACGAAACTCATCACTTCCTTTTAGTTTTAATATTTTTAAAGTATTTAATTTTAATTGAAATAAAAGTACTACAGTATTTAAAAATAAACAAAGAACAGACAGCGTGCTTAGTTTGCCCTTTTCGTGTCTACTTTTCTTTTTTTTTTTAAATATACTTTAGTTATATTTATTTATTTTCTTTTTAGCTGTCGCAATTTTTAAACTGTGGCTTATAATTATTGTTACTTTCGTGTTATTTTAATATAATAATTTAGTTAAATATGGCTTTATTAATTACTGGCCTTGAGTAACTAAACTAAAAAATTGTACAAAGAGACTAAAAAGAAGTATTTTATTTCCTTATTTACATCAAACAATGTAATTATCCAAAGATTCAAAACTCTACCGCAACAAGTAATGAATTAAAAAAGAAATTTTTTTTTAGGTTATTTACTCTGCACTGTAATAAGTTATTTTGCACTGTAATCAAAAAAGGTTAAAAAAATTTTATTAAAAAAAATAACTCACGAAATTCAAAATGTTTCAACAACACATGATGCGACTTAAAATAAGGGTTAAAATAAAACTTTTGCTTTTAAAAAAGTTTTTTTTTTCTACTTTCAAAATTATAGCATGTTTCAATATTTTCATAGGAATTTATTATGTAAGCTGATAAAAAGTAAAAGTAAAAAGAGGCGATTAAAATTTCTTTTGAATATATTCCGTTTATTTTAAGTAGGATAAATGAATTACATTGAGTATACACAACTTTTTTTAAAACTTATTTTGTCTCTTTAAATAATTTGGTTTTTATTCTGTTTTATATTGATTTTTTTCTAACTTAATTAATTTTGAAGCTTTAATAGTGATTTCCAAAGATAAGGATATATAATTAAACGAATGATTAAAAGTTCAAACATCAGCATGGAATTTTAAGGAAGTGGGATATTAAAAGTAAAGTGAAAATATTGTTAATTATTATTTTTTTTTTTTAATGTGTACATGATTTCTAATCTTGATAAAAACTTAAAAATTTCATTTTCTGTATGGTAATATTAGAAAAACATTTCGTTCTATTATTATTTTACTATGTACTATCTTTATTTTATGCGATTTCGTGTGAAAATTTAAATTATCTTCATCATTACCCAGATATTTTTAATGGCAATGTTATGCTTTTAGCAATATTACTTTTTCTGTTGCTTGTTATTGGAGTTCAAAATTCAAAGTTCAGGAGATCAAAGTTTCCTCACAGAAAAATCTGCTGTTTTTTATTTATTTATTTATTGTTTGTCTGTTTTTTTTCTTCTTCTTTTTTCTTTTTTGTACATTATTATGCAGCCAACCAATCGTATTACAGCGCATTAAATGTTAAAGAGCAACACATTATAAAAATCATATTAATAAGGCGAATTTCAGTAATTAATCATGTGCCCTCCTCTGACGTTTTTTCTAAATCTTCAGAATAGAATTTAATAAAAATTAGAAAAAAATTAGGAGTTTTTTTAAAATGCCTTGGACTTGGACACAAAATTTTGTGTTACGTGTATTACATATCCTTTAACAATACTAGTTGTTTTTACAATGCTATTTAATGTTTTTTTTTCTTTTTAAAGTTGAAAAATGAATTTGGTTTATAGCTAATAAAATATCCATGCATATAGTATAGAGTATTTTAAAATGTACTAAATACATTCCAGTCTGCACATTCGATTCTTATTATCTTAATTCGTTAATATATCAGGTAAGAACAAGTAAAATAATCGTGGAAAATCGAGGTCACCGAATTAATATTATGAAAGCCATCTGAAACCCCGTGTTTATTTTGTTAAGTTAAGCTTTTAAAAATGTTTCTCTAAAAACCTAAATTCTGTAAAAAAAAAAAAAAAAAAAGAAGAAGAAAATCGTGTTCTAAAGGGTTGTTAAAATTGCTTGTATTGGCCGACGAGAAATAACATCCTTTTTGATTTGAAGCAAGATTACTTACAATATTTCGAGGTAATATTAATCTAAATTAGTTCAAATACAAGTAAATTCTCTTTTGATGAGTAGAACTTCTGAAAAATGCTTCGCTCAATATAATAACGTAAAGTCATTGGAAAGTACAGCAGATAATAAATTATTTCAAATTTTTAACTGTTTTCCTTTTTCAGTGTTATAGCTGATTGAATAGTGTTAATAAATCTCTCTCTCTCTCTCTCTCTCTCTCTCTCTGCGTGCTAGTGCTAGTTCCCTGGAAGTCAGTCCTCAACTCTCTCCTTTACACACTACCCCCCAAAGGACTCTCTCTCTCTCTCTCTCTCTCT